TCTCTCTCTCTCTCTCTCTCTCTATCTCTATCTTGCTATGTATTTATATTATTCATTCTGCCCCTCCCTTCATGTTTTATGCGCGCTCGTGCATGTACGTGTGCACGACAGGCGTTCAACGTCGTGTTACTGGCGCCATCTGGTGACCACGCGCGCACGTATTCGGACCATTACCACCCGCTTTCATTCCGCTGTTGCTTTGTGTTTTGTGTCCTTCTTAGCGTTTTAGTTTTGTTTAGCTCTTTAGTTTTTTTTTATAGATTTATAGTATTATTAGATATTAGACTTATATCGATATTAGTATTTTTTTAGCTTTTGTGTTCTTTGTTAGGAAGCAGGGTAGAAGCCATGCGCGTAGACCCACCTTCCTGGCATCCCTCTCCCTTGTATCCGGCGGCGCAGCTTCCGCTGCAGGCACCGTTAGTCGCATCGCATATATCGTCCTTGTCGACGCAGTGGCAGGAAAGCTGGCAATTAAATCCCCACGAGCCATCCTCACAACCTGGAAGGCATCGTAATTAACGAATAAAATTTATTTTTAATTGTTAATTAAAGACCTTCGAGTCATCCGCATAACCAGTGTTAACAGTGGGGCATCGAAATTAACACGTAAATATTTAATAATTTATTATTATTTTTAATTTAGTGTGTGCAAACGTTTTAATTTAGTGTGCACAACCTGTATAAAGACGCAGCCACTTTAATTAAGAAGATCATATTTAGAGGTGATCTTTAAGGGGGGGAGGCGTTTCTGGCACGCATCATCTAAGAAACGCTTCGCCACATTCATCCTTTATCTAACTCGATCTGATTTCCACCAATTACACTTACAGCAGGCAATGCTATAAAATATAATATGAAATTTCATTGTTCGTTGAATTATTTTGCATGTAAATAAATCTGTATGAGTACCTGTACGCGTCCCCGCGGGGGATCCACCACCTTTAATTATTACATCGAACCGCAACTAACTTCAATTAATAATTCGTAGTATAAGTATTAGTCAGGGCTGTTAGGGCTATATAGGGGTTGTTTGGTGCAGATTCTTCTAAAAGTACCAAATTTGGTCCAGAGGTAGCTTATACCATACTATTACGATTTCTGCCGGGCGCCAAGAAGGGCGCCCTTTGGGGCCGCCATATTGGGCAAATCCAAAATGGCCGCCATCTGAGCTAAAGATCAAGTGTAGTTCCAAAAGGGAAAGGGCTAGTATGATAAAAGTTTATATATTTATGGGGTTTTCGAGGTCAGAGAATCTGATTATGATGTTCTTACATCGATTTGAGGTTTCTTTCGTCTGTTACAATGGTCAAATCCAATATGGCTGCCATACGCGGGCAAATGCTGTGATGTGTATACTTAGATTTTCTAATCTCTTTCTATCTTTGGGGGGATGTAATGATGGGATGAAACTAATTTGAGGGTTATCAATTATTAACATGCACACATAAACATACTGACATACATTATCGTAAGGAAATAATAAAATGAATGATTTAAGTACCAAATATATTCTACGAAGCTCAAACATGGTGGACAATGGTGGACATGGCTTCAACAAGAATTATAATTTGCTTGATTTGTCTATTCCATATTAGTCATCTATTCCTACATGTATGTTAGGTTAACATAGTTACAGTTACACAGTTGTGTATAAAGAGACAAATACAACAGGCAATGTAGGCTTTCCGATATGGAATCTTTGGTTAGAAGTGATTACTGTCTTGGTTTGTGTCCAGTTATATAATCAGTAAGTTCGACTGGGCACAACAGTGCTCTCGATATATGTATGGCCTGTGCCCATACATTTTAGCATTAAGTCCCACTAGTCGTTGCTACATCCGCTCTCGCATTTGCAGAACATCGTGCACCTGACACCAGCACGATTGCACTTGCACCTTCCTGCGCATGGACTTGAGGCAGCTGCAGTGCAGCAGAAGGGTGCATGCTTCTGAAGCGTCACGGAGTGTAGTCCATAGCGGCTGCCAGGCCCCCGTA